TTTGTGTTAAGATCTTTAACTGTTTATATATTTATTGTGTAATAAACATGTGTTGTTAAAGAACAGAGGTGGTGATGGCCTGGTGGTATTATCGCTGGCCTGTTAATCCAGAGACCCACGTTATGTTCTGGGGGCCCAAGTTCAAATTCAGCCATAGCAGAAATTTGAATTTGGTGGAATTTGCATTCAATAAAAAAATTCTGGAATTGAAAATCTGAAGATGACCATAAAGCCATTGTCAATTGTCACAAAACCCATCGGAATCATTAATGCCCTTCAAGGAAGGAAACTACTTCCCTGGTCTGACTTACATGTGACTCCAGACCCACAGCAATGTGGTTGACTCTTAAGTGCCCTCTGGACAAACAGGGATGGACAATAAATCCTGGCCTAGCCAGTGATGCCCTCATCCCATGAATGATTAAGAATAAACATCTGCCTGCCTCCTATAAATATGTTTCAGTGACTAACTGGCATATTAAACTGAAAAAATTAAATATATGATCTACCAAGTCAAGTTTCATTCTGGGATCCAGTTTGTCCAGTATCATCAGCTGGCATCATGACACTGTCTTAAAATGGAAGACACCCTTAATTTTAAAAGGTGACACCTACTTCTAGATTGTCCCTCAATGGGAAACATCCTTTCCACATCCATCTTGAAGTCTCCTCAGGATCTTATATGCTTCAATCAAGTCACCTCTCACTTGGCTAAGTTTTATCAGATACAGTTGAGCCTGTTCAGCCCTTCTCCTTCTCTCCACCATTCCCCACCACCCTGAAAGAGCTCTGCAATCTCTCACCATTCAGAAATGCTTCTTTACGTTCTCTGCCAAAATGGAAGATTCCACATTTTCCGATATTATACTCCATTTGCTACATGTTTGCTCATTCACCTCACATAACTATATTCTTTTGTATGTGTGTCCACTTCACAAACTTATTTTCCTACCTACCTGTGTCATCGGCAAATTTAGCAACAATACAATTGATCCCAAGATCCATAACACATGTAAATTGTAGAGTTGAGAGCCCAACAAACCCCTGCAGCATACCGCCAGCTTTTTCGGGCCAGAAAATGATTCAACTATGTGCCCACTCTACTTCCTATTAGTTAGCTAATTTTGAACTTTTATTTCCCACAATAACCTTTGTGGCACCTTATCAAATGCCTTTTGTAAACCTATGTACATCAGATCGTTCCCCTTTATCCACATTGCATGCCACTTCCTCAAAGAGCTCCAATATTTGGTTAAACAGGATTTCCACTTAAAGCCAACTCTGCCTCTCAATAATAGCTTCTAGCATTCTCTCTAAGAAAGATCTAACAGGCCTGCTTTCTGGTTCCTCCCCTTTTTGAATATAGAAATTAATTATCCACTTTCCAATCTATCGGAAGCTCTCTGAATCTCGTGAATTTAATGAAATTAACAATTATCTCATAGGCCACTTTTGAGATCCTAGTATGAAAATCATCAGGATCCAGGAACTTGTCAGCTCACAGTTTCAACAATCTGCTAATTACTTCTTCCTTGGTCACCAATATTCTGGAGTTTCTCCCTTGCTTCCAACTGCTAACAGGCAGCTTTTTCTGGGATGTTACATGTTTCTTCTATAGTCAAGACCAATGCAAAATAACTTATTTTTCAATATTAATTTCCCAGACTTATCTTCTCTACAACCACTCACTTTGTTAACACTATTTTTCTTTACAGAAATTCTTACTGTGTTTACATTGCTGGCTAGCATGCGGTCATGTTTTATTTCTCTCCCCTTCTTAATCATTTAATCATTCTTGGCTGTGTTTAAATTCTGTCCAATTTTCTGATCAGTCACCCATCTTTGTGGGATTAAATTCTTTTTCTTTCAGTAAATACTAACTAACCCTTATTATAGATAGTAGGCATCAGCCATGGAAATCTCTCTCTTTTCAGAATGTATCTACTTTGTGGATTCTGAAATATTAAAATGTCTGCCACTGCGTTGCTATCAACCTGTCCCTTAACCTGAATTGCCAGTTCGTTGCCGCTAGCTCAGTTTTCATGCCCTCATAATTGCTCTCATTAAAGTTCAAAATATTAGTATTACAGCCATGGTTCCTTCCCTCAAACTGTACTTAAAATTCATTATTATGTTCAGTGTGCTTAGGGGTGCCTTCATTGAGAAGTCATTAAGCATTCTTACCTCTTTGGTCAATACAGTTTTAGTATCACCCATTCTCTGGTTGGTACCAGAGCATGCAGTTTCAAGAAACTATCCCAAAGACAATCTATAAATTCATCATCTCAATTATTGTTGCCCTATCTGATTTTTCAAGTATCTACGTAGTTATTGTGGCGATTTTAATCTGTCATATCTTTTTGACAAACTCCTATTATTTCTTGTTTCACAGTCAGTCCCACCATGTGGTTACTGTTAAGTGGCCTCAACACCATTCCCACAAGTGGCTTATTTTTAACCATTCTTCATCTTTATTCAAACAGTTTAAATGAATTCAAGTTATCATGTTAAAATCATCATTTATTAACAGAGCCATCCTTCCACCTTTTTCCAAGTGACCTGGCCTTCCCAAATGTCTCATACTCTTCAGTATTTAGTTTGAATTATGCAATGAAAAGGGGCTAATTAACAACGTTATTATAAAAAATCCTTTAGGGATGAATGACAACAATAAGATAGTATTTTACATAATTATGTTTGAGTGCAGTGTAGATCATTCTGAAGCAAGGGTTTTGAATTTGAATAAGGAAAATTATGAAGGATTGAGGTAAATTGGTGGAGGTGGATTGCAAAAATACATTAAAAAGGCATGAAAGTATATGGGTAATCTTGAAGACTAATTACATGATTTAGAGCAACAATGTATTCAAGGTCCAAAATCTCAAAGATTAAATCAACTGTGGCTAACAAAAAGTTCAAGATTGTACAAGATTAAAAGAAAAGACCTATATAGTTGCTAGAAATAGCCGTAATTCTGAAGATTGGAAAGTGTATAGAATATAAGAGACGCCCAAGAAAGTGAAGAGGACAGGAAGAACAGAATATGAATGCAATCTAGTAAAAGAAAACTGGACTGTAAAAGCTTCTATAGGTAGGTGGAAAGGAATGTTTGGATAAACTATGTATGTTCATTACAGGCAGAGTCAGAAAAATTTATAATGACGAACAAATCACAGAAGTTAAATGATTACTTTGTGTCTGTTTTCACCGAGGAAGATATCAACAATCTATGTGAACTTAAGATCCGTGGCTAGGGAGAAGGAGGAGTTGAAAGAAATTAGCATCAGCAAGACGACTGTACTGGAGAAATTAATGGATTGAAAGTTAATAAATCCTCAGGAGCTGATGGCCTACACCCTACAGTGTTGAAGCAGATAGCAATTGAGATAGCGAATAATTTGATGATTACCTTCCAAAACAATTCCTATGGATTGGAAGGATGCAAATGTCACTCCTTAAAAAAGCAAGTGGGAAAACAGAAAACTGCAGACCCGTTAGCCTTATATTAGTAGTGGGGAAAATGCCAGAATCTACTGCAAAAGATGGGATAAACAGACTCCTTGTTGATAATGATCTGACAGCACGAATCTATGAACATGAAATTGCGTTTAATGAATTGGGAGTTTTTATTTGAAGATGTTACTAGCA